TAGATTACCCACGAGCTACTACAAGCTGCTCGCGTGTATGCCTCATGAAACATTTTTATTATAACATGATTGTTATTTATTTTACCTAATCTAATCATAACTAATCTAAAAGGATCCCTATTTTTACATTTTAGTTAACTTTATAATTATACACAAAGAATAAATATGAAAACAAAAAATAAAGTACTTACCTAATCTTTTTTCTTGCTGTCGGGTTTTGAAGAGAGTTAACCCTAATTTTATATACTATAGATAGTAATGCACTTAATAATTTTTATTTAATTAAATAATGCACCAAACAATATAGACTAATAACATGCAAAAAGTAGACAAATTCCCTTTACCTCTCAAAATTTTTTTGGGTTTCTAATTATGCATCAAGAGTTGTGACAAATTCCTCCAAGCTAGTATAATGGAATTGAATTGTTCTGTGACTGAAGGAATCACAAGTCCTCCATAAAGAGTTCATTGCATACAAATGTACAGGAATTTTGTAGTAACTTGATCTTCATAAATTACACATGTATTTTTTCACTTCAGTATAAAGTGATCAAATACATCAAAAATCACGATGCCAAAAATTTCCAAATGGAAAAGTAACTTATCGTGGAGAAAGTCTGAAACTTTGATAAAGTTTCAGGATGCAAATTACAGAAAGAGCAAGAAATAGATAGGCTTGTTCACAAAATTATGACGAAATATCCAGTGAGAAGAAGCCAGGAACAAACTTCAAATATAGAAATCAAATTTCTCGCCAAGATGCAGTTAGAAGTCAGGAGCAATTTCATGACAGAGAAGCACACTGTTCAGCTCATCAAGATCCTGACCAAATAACCATCAGTAGAGCAGCATTTCTGCTGGTTAACAATTATGAGTTGATTATATCAATATACTTCCCCACCTCCATTTCTGATGGAGTTTGAGTCATGACACTTCTACAACCCTCTTCCACTATAATGACCCTAAACTATGGTGGGCTGTCAATGCTGCATATTTTATCTGAAACTAATTATTTTCTAAACAAAATATATAGCTACAAAATACTTGCCACACTTTTGCCTAGAATTGCCATCATTTTCACCATTCCTGCTTGAACGATTTTTGCTACTCCTTATAGTGAGCATCAAGGATGGCTACTCTATCTGCAATATCTATAAAATTTGCAATCAGGCAGTATGGGCAATAATTTGACACTTAAGATCAGCAGTAATTGTGATGCTCAAAACTGAGCTTGATGCTATCTTTTAAACTACACCTTAAATATATCTGTTGTTGGAGACTAGCTGATACAATAAAATGTAAAAATTTAAGCTGCAGCTAGAGATTATCATGGAGCTTTGTTTGAGAATATAGTGAGCATTTATAGTTTCTGTGTAACTAAATTCTCTCCATATATAATACATAACAATAGGCAAATAAATACTTAGACTAAGACACAATCTCCACTAAGCATGTATAGAATTTTACCTGTAGAAAAGAAATATTTTCAAATAAAACACACACATCTAAAACCTTTGTGTCTTTTAAAGTAATTATTGCATTAATGTGTGCAATAAAATTTAATCCTATTTGTAGTTTTTTTTCACTCCTTCATTTCATAGTATAGGGTGTTGGCACCCTAGAAACCAAATGTATAGTGTACAAAGCATTGAGTATCTACACATTACTGTCATCTAATGTTCATCTGTTATTGGCTGGTAATTCCTATTTCACCCTGTACTTAAACTTCTTAAAGGAACAACTGATATTTGTGAAAAAGCTAACTTCATGGGGTAAGAATAACATTGTTTACACTAGTACAAGCCACATAAAACTTGAGGGCCCTAACAGGACATAAAAACAATAAGGATTAGAGCAGTCATACAGGTGAGAAATGGATTGCAAATGGATTGGTGAGAAGGATCTTTCCCCTTCCCTGGCTACCAGAGTATTGGGAACAAAAGACCTATCAGGGTAAAGCAGGACAAATGTGGAATGATAAATAGTCCAATGCACATGGATTGCAAACAACTCCAACCGACAACATCCACAAGCCAACAACAACAAAAATAAAATTTAAGAGAATGGTGAAACAAAGAACATGCACCTATGGGCTCAAAGGGAGGATGAGACAATGCATGTAAAACAACTGGAAAATTCCAATTCTGTAATTGAAAAGGCCGTTTGGGTTTTGATCAAAGAATACAAAAGGATTTGAGTAGCCTTGACATTACTGAGGATTCAAAAACCTTCCAATATTTGGAATACAGAAAAATAGTGAATAAGGATGCCCTATATCAACCATCGTAGACAAAGTAAGACCCCTCTCAAATACCCATGTCATAAAACAGGATATGGTAGATACTTTAGGATGAAGAGGGTTCAAATTCCTTTTAATCCTATCACAACGGGTATCCTTTATTACACATGACACAATGTTTTAGTGTACTAAACTACTTTTTATTTACATTATATCAATTAGAATAGCATAAAATCTTAGCTAATAATCCATATTTTAATAATATACAAGTTTTACGTTCTTAATTCTACAAGGCAATATTTATAAAAATCCTAAATTTCCACATGACACATTTTCTCTCAGCATGTCATCATCCCTATTTTATCCACCACCCCTCAAAAACTATGAAATTAAATGTAATTTACTCTCTATAAAATCGTTATTGTTCAGACAAACCATAATATTTATAGCCTTCAATTCTGTTTGGTTACAGAGCTATCACATAGAAAATCAGACCCCTCCTGCCACATCCTCTCTTTCATAATTCGTTGTTAGCTCTCTCTCATGTTTCATTATATATTACCTATAACCAATAGAAAGTCAACGTTTTCATCTATCAAATGACGTATCTTATAACATTATGTTCTAAACTGTTAGATGTCAATTTCACTCAGAGTACCAACATCATTCGTGTGGGAAAGTTAACGACTAGCTTGGATGAATTTGTAAGAGCTCTTGTTGCATACTTAGAAAGCCAGGAAAATTTTGAGAGGTAAATGAATTTGTCTACTTTTTGCATGTTATTATTCTATATTCTCTGGTGCATTATTTAATTAAATAAAAATTATTAAGTGCATTACTATCTATAGTATAAAAAATTAGGATAGTCATCGACAACATTGTTGATGGTCCGTGTGAGTCTAAGATCCTCAAAAATACAGATGGACTCTACTATGGGAACCAATAGACTTGGAAACCAAAGGAAGGGGTCGGGAAACACTACAAGCCAACACTCCCAAATTAGTGCCAGAAAGGCGAGAAGCTAACAACGATAAAGAAGAATGGAAATGAGCTGAATGAATTCATGATTCTAACGTCTCCAGAACTCCGGCAAACAACATGGGATAAAGAAAAGGAGATTCCCGTAATGTACTGAAGGCAGAAGATGGTAAACAAACACTTTCTAACAAAGCGTTTCTACCCAATAAATCCCAACAACAAACCAGCCAGGAAACCTAACTCATCCTCAATTTGCTGAGGGAAATGTTGATAGGTTTCTGACAAAAGTTGGATTGAAGATAAATACCTCAAGACATTCATGAGAGTAAGATGAATCTGAGAAAACTGTGATCTGTTTAAAGTGATCACAGGTTCTGAACTAGACCCACACAGGTCCAAAAGGGGGTCCATCTGTTGAGAATCTAAATATAACTCCTCCTGGCAGTGATAAGCCAAAACATGCTGTTCCAATAAATGTGGGGGACAAGGCATAGCTATCCCATCATGTAACTGAGTGGCAAATCTCCCAGCATGAACAGTAATATCAGGAGGAGGAAAAACCAAGTAGTCACTTGCCATCCTCTCTGCAAACATGGAAGGAGTAGAGTCAAATGCAAAATAAGAGACCCCCAAAACCTCACAAACCCAAGTATCTGACTGAAGAAAAGGTGCTGGAGGTGGCTGATCAATATGATCCTCTGTTGAGGCCAAACTAGTAAAAGAAAGAGCCTGAAAAAGTGAGTCTAAATTCCCCCCAGCTGGTCCCGGATCATTTGCAAAAGCTGCCTCATAACCCCCCAGAGAGACACCCTTGGTCCAGATATACGACTCCATCTCGCAACAGATCATATCACGGACAGCTTCGATTGATAGTGACCATTCACTTGGCAGTTAACAAACACCACATAGCACAGATGGACGAGAAGAGGTCTGGTTGGTCTCTATAGTAGAAATTTTAACTCAGGAATTCATACCCATCGGTACTTTTTTTTTTGGTTAAAGTAATTTATAAATAGAAAGAAGATATAACCGTAGTAACACTAACCACATTCAAAGTTGCAACGTCAATAGTGAATAACCACAACACTTCTGTTTATAGAAACCCATGGCGATTGCTTTGACGAGGAAAATGTGATTATCTGAATGAGGTGCTGATATACAGTACCTAGATAAAGGGTGCATTGAAATTGATGGAGAATTTTAGAAATTAGAATTTGTCAAGGGCAATTTAGTGGGGTATAAAAGACTGGAGCAAGCATTTTCAGTGCTCAGATGGGCAAAGAGTGGAAACCCTGGAGATTGAAAAATAGCTATAGTGTCAGGAGAGGTATGTTTTGGAAGTGCCTTTTCTCAACATATTTCTTGTGAACAAAAGGCTAATTTGACAAGCTTAATTAATAATACTAGTACATTTTATTTGAATCACATCATTTTAAGTCTCAAATATAAATGAACTTTAGCATGGTATTACTGTTAATGATACAAAAATTCTGACAATTCCATTTCACTTGTTACATAATCTGGGAGAAAGCCTTTAAAGGTTAAGTAACCCTAATATTTGATCTTTGTGGATTTAAACATAAAGATTTAGTACTTCTTATTCTGAGAATACCATATATCATGTCAGTTTCTGCTGAGATTAAAGGCTTTATTGTGGATTGCAGCTTATCCTCATTTGGCCCTCAAAATACATGTGAAACCTATGGGAATGAAGTGGAGAAACTATGGACAAAAACATCAAGTTTCTTTCAGAAGCAACCACATCAAAAAATGTTTCACAGACCTTTAGCATTTTAACAAATTCCTTTCCAAGTTCTTGATCTTGTTTGGCAGCAAATGTCACATGTAGAATGATTGTTCCTTCAGTCTGTCTAGCAAGCTCAACGTTGTGAGGGGCTTCCATTAATGCAAAATCTGGTCTGATGAAAACAAAATATCTACTTCTATTAGGAAAATGCCTTCTTTATTTAACTGGTTGTTTCAGAATTCACTGTAAAACATGTTTCAGTTCATCTCTATATAACAGTTTATTAAATAAGTTCTTAATTTTACCAGGCTCAACCCAAGTATAAATTATACCAACTTTACTTTTTCTAAATATCTTAAATTCCAAACTTGGATGAGAAAACATTTAAAAAACAACATGCATGCAAATCTTGAGTTAAACTAAGCATTATAATTTCTTTTATTTATAAAGTTTTTAAAAAATAATAATATTTTTTACCCTTTGATATCTAACAGCAAACAAGCAACCAACTGCATACAGAAAAGCAAATACATTTAAAAGAGTGACAATTAGTGCTGAAATGTATATTTAAAGTTATAAGTTTCTAAGTAATTAGTTTACTGATTACAAATTTTTTTTCAGATGGCATTTTTATTGTAGTGCTGGATAAATGCTAGAAAGGTTAGAAAATACGGGGTTATATATATACATTCATGCTATATGTGATTGGGGTACAAGAGTACCATGAGTTAGCTACACCCTTAGTATGTAAATTTTTCAAAATTTCCAATTTTCTTTCAGTTCAGTTTAGACAAAAAATGTTACTCAAGTTAACTCAATTTTTCTTATTCTGGTGCACACGAGACTCACATCTGCTAACTGACCATTAAGTGCGTGTCTTCTTACACTGAGGATAGCTGTTCTTTCATTCTTGATGTCTTGACATATACAGCTTTATTTTGCATCTGTGGTATGAAAATGGCTCTAAATCACATGTATGAAGTGCAATGCCTGAGAAATTTGGCTTTGTTTATGTTACTGTTTTTATTGCTTAAAACCAGGTTCTCCCCTACTATGCAGATTTTGTGAAAATTGAGATTTTGTACAGACTTAATTTTAAGACAGACTCAACTTAGCATTCCTTTTCTTCTTTAAGTTTTAGCATAACATTTAATTTAAGGAACAATGGGACCTATTAGTCAATTTAGGCCATGCCATACACTAAACTTAACTTTAAAAAGAACTCAAAGCCAACCCTTATCATTCAAATATTTGTCAAGCTTTCTTTCAACCCTATGTGTATGGTGGGGTCAAAGTGTGCTTGTCACAACTTTTTTACCCTTGATGCACAGGATTGGTCCACTGAATCAAGCCCACATTGGAAAATTCTTGTTCACTATGATTCAAAATTTACTTGGTGTTTCTTTACAAAATTTGATAAAATTTTAGTAAACATTATAAGCATATTGTACACAAAAAAATCAGAATTTTTAATAAAGTATGTATATTAAAGACTTAATTCAATCAATAAGACTCAGACTTGAACTGAATGCAAAGTAATTTCAGGTTAAAAATAAAAAAATATTTTTTTCTTCTTAGAATTTTCAAACTTCATTTGTATAACCTCTAGAACCTTCTAAATGAATATCAAGTTGTTATTTTTCAGTAAAACTTTATCTGTCATTATCTCTACCCTCTCACCATATGGACTCAGTCCTTTTGACCAACGTTGCAACCAGTACTAAAAAATACAAATAAATCTAAGTTACTCTTTTTTCTTTCTAGAATGACTGCAGATTTTATCAGAAAATCACAATTATTAACCCTAAATAGCTTAAGGCTCATAACAATTTACATCTACTTTAATTTAATTATATTGTTTTTGAATCAAACAATTAAATATTCATAAGAAAGCTATAAATCATCAAGCAAGTGCATAGTTCAAGATATGGTAAACTATTCAATTACACAATTGATGCTCATTGCACCAGTCTATATACTCCATCAATTTTGTGGCACTTTTTAACATGTATATAGTATGTGACCATCCTCCACCAATAGTACTGTGCCACCTATATTAGTGCAGCTAGTTCCCTCTAATTTTTCAGCTCAATCCTCAGTTTCAAGAATTGGCAGGATCTAAAATGAATAACCCCAGCAGTGGGGAGGAAAGGTGGGAAGTGTGTAAGGAAATACATTTTCAGAGTAAAATAATTTTAACTTCTGATACAGTCTTACCTTCTTTCACACAAAGCTCGAATCCTGTATTGAAAAAATGGAAGGGCTGGTGTAGGCTTCTAAGAGTGAAACCAAGCAGAAAGTGATTGCCTTGAAATAACTGGTTTACTCAGAGATGAAACCGAAGCACAGATGTGGAGCACTGCATTACTTCTGGAACAGGTATGTTCTTCACCCCATAAGAAGGAAATGAACCTGACAGGGGTGGGGGAAAAAAGGACGTGCACAAGCTCAATTCGTAGTGAGAGTGCAATCCATAATAAAAAATGATGAGAGTTTGAGTCGTCCTCCACTGCATAAACCAGACCGAAAAATAGTTGGCTCCCATAGGTGAAGAGCCGCTCTATGAAACGACAAATTCGATACCCACATGAGGAGAAACAGCAAGTCAAGGGACAGTTTGCCACAGTATAATGATGTAGAAAAACATCTAGTCATGGCTAGGTATCTACCCAACCTCAACTGGACAGACAAGGTTTCACAACCTGTCTCAGCATTAGGAGGTTGAGGATCACTCGGATAAAAACAAAATTAGAGTAATATAAACATTGTGGCTAGGGCATGTAGACTGTGTGATGTATATATGTACACCAACCACAACCATAAGTAAACAATGTCATACGTCAAGCAACTGGAATTACGAAGAAGTTAGCATTCGGAAGAAGCCGGACGAATTCCTAAAACCACCATAGGAGCAAGAAGTACAATAAATTGAACCTGGCATTACGGGGTCTTATCATTGCCTCAACTCAACCGTACGAGCAGAGCAATACCTGCAACTGGTATTACAAGCAGAAATCATAACTCACCCAACCATAAATGCAGGGAAGACACATCTAGCACACAGAATTATGAGGAGGATGTGGAACATTTGCTCAACCACAGGAACAGTGTATATGCATCCTGTCCCCAGTATTATGAGGCAGACAAAGTCCCCCAAACTCAACTGTAGGAGCAGGGAAGGAAACCTCCTGCAACAAGAATTAGCAAGAAGGGGTCCTCTTCTGCACTAAACTATGTGAACAGGGTGATATCATCCTGAACACAGTATTATGAGGAGGATCCTGCATAGGCTGGTCCTGCTCCAACCACAATTCAGTCCACCTGGAAAGGACAGAATCCAGCTTTGCCCTCTTCTCACTGAGTGGATAAATGTGTGGTTGTATTGTAAGGTAAATTTCTACTTCACACTTCGAAGGAAGCCTCTTTGGTCCACTACCAAAGTGACTGGGAACTGGTAAGAACTCCCATACTCCAGTTGGAAAAAAAGGGGGGAACTAAATGTGGTGGAAAGTCTGGAAAAACTTCACACTGGAGAAAATGCAATGAGTGTCAAAATTCCCTATTTTAAAAAGCAGGTTGTTCCTGATTTATGCAATCAAAGGGTTGGCAAGGATGGACAGAAATCCCCCTTTGCTTTACTTTTGATAATCCTTGATTGACGGTCCACCACTGAGCTAAATTTACAGATACCTAGAGACACATAAGTATATACAACTAGGCATGTCACTAGTGGTCTTGTGAAACACCCCATCTCTTCAGTGAGAGTTATAGCTCTACAAATATGTAGTGCAGGTTTCTGTGAAAGGACACCTGAACAGGCAACACTTGCCACAGAGTGTGATCCTATTAGTAGTGGTAAAAGAGAGTCCCTGAAAATAAAACATAAATGAAATGTTGTGAAAAAACATATCCAAGTCTAATGCAAACAGACATGTAGAATCGCCAGGAGAGGGAGACAATATACACCTCTTGAAAGATACAGCCAGATAGTGCAGATAATGAGTAACAAAGGAATAGGGAGTAGTCCACATTCCGGCTTAAATGATTTCTTTCAATGGATGGTGAAGATGAGCAGCCAAAGACATGGTGATATGACAAATTAGATGAGAAGAAATGTTGAGGAGACAGTGATCTTCAATGGATAAGTCTGAACATGCCAACATAAGAAGTTAATGAACCCAACCAGTTAGTATAATAGGAAATAGATCACAGGATATAGAATGGTTCCAAGGAATAAAAGGTCAGGAACATGAAACCCGAAATGAAGCAGTACATGCCACGCAACACCTTAGGAAGCAAACCTGATAAAGAAGCTGATCGAGATCAGAATGGGTGTATAGGTAGGAGATGGAAAGTAAAGTAATGGGTATGAAAGCCAAATGGCCTTTCCTGGCAATAGAGATCATAGGGAGGAAGGATAAGTCTGGATATAGGATGACATAAGAGAAATGGTAAAATTCTGGTAAAATTAATGCATAAATATCTGATAGAGGATGTCTACAAGCTAGGAGGAAAAGCAAACATGTAATATATACCTGATTAACCATCTGTTAAAAAAAAGGTGTGGAAGATGAGATATTCTGTACAGGTGTAGTGTGTGACAGACCAAAATAAGAAGGTGCTGGAAAAAGTAAATCAAACTTTCTTCTCCTTGATTGTATTCATAGACAGAAATATTGTCAGGTTGAAAATGAAAAGAAATTGCCAGCCAAACATATGAATCTAGCTGCCTGTGAATTAAGGCCTGCAAGTATTCAGCAGATAAAGCCGAACCCAATGCCTGGGTAGTCATAACCAGAAACATTGTCTGCCATAACAGGAATTTCCAATGTCGATACATCGAATTGCAAAGTTATTCTAAGTTACAGTACAACTTGGTAACAATAAACAAATACAAAAAAAAGTGAAACAACTGAATGCAAACACCGTAAAAGAAAACTGTTGAAAAAAGTACTGAAAAGTACTTAATCGTAAACGGTAGTAGCATATGAAAAAACACAAGTTTAAACTATGATGTGCCAATTGAGAAAGTGAGGATTGAACAGGAAAATCAGAGAGAGATAGCTGCGACAATATAGGTGGCACAATACTATTGGTGGAGGGTGGCCACATTCTATATTCATATTCAAAAGTGGCACAAAATTTGTGAGGTATATAGACTGGTCAATGAGC